GGACCTTGCCTTTTTCAAATCTGGGCCAAATTTAAATCAGAAGAAGAAATGGTTGAGATAAAGGAAGAGATGTATTTATCTTTCTTGTGTAAATGCTTCTCCTGTCTAGAACTTGTCCTTTCTATTTAGTCTCCCTGTATTTCCCTGGAATTGGAGTTAAGGGCTGTTCATACTCAAGGCACTTCTGATTTAGGGGAAGTCTGCAGCTGTTTGGGCTAGGCTTCCAATAAGCAGAATTTAGATGCTTTTTTTACACTTATAGAAAGTATAATGTATTGGAAAATTAAAGCGCCAGGATTAATGCATTTAGTCTTCCACATGAACTTTTTTACTTTAGGTCACTCAAATTCTCTAACCACATAATTTCATGTAAAATAAAAATAATAACATCCATTTCAGCTCTGACAATATCATAGCTTTTTTAAGATCAAATAAGATAATGTATAGGGACATGCTTTATTTCAGGGATAGATAAAATTATTACCCTCATACTCTACTTAATATTATTTTCAATATGTAAAATTTTTTAAATATAAAGGATTTTATTGTAAAAATGTATGAAAAAATGCAAGTAAATTGAAAGTCTTCCTCGAATCCTTTCCCCTTGCTTCCACACATCTACAAAACTGTTGGAGAAAATTACTTGGTAGATTTACCTATTTGTTTGCTTTAACTTCATTGTCCAATATGGTAGCCACTAGAAACTTGTGGCTATTAAATATAAATATAAAGTCATTACATTTCAATAAAAGTAATTGTTAGTCACACTAGCTATCTTTCAAATGCTCAACAGCCACATGTTGTTACTGTATTGGACAAAGCAGCTGTAGAATGAAGCCATCGTTGAAGCAAGTTCTACTGAACAGCTATTAATAGCTCTACTCTAGAATCAAGTCCAGGAAGAGAACCTGTAGTAGGCAAAATAATGGCCTCCAAAAGATGTCTGTGTCTTAATCTCCAGAATCTGAAAATGTTGCCTTGCATGGCAAAGGACACTTTACATGTGTCATTAAGTTAAGGATCTTGAGATGGGAACATTTTCCTGGATTATCTGGGTAGGCCCAATGTAATAACAAGGGTTCTTAGAAGAGGAAATCAGGAGGATAAGAACCAGAAAAAGGAGATGAGCTGATTGAAACAGGAGATAGAGTGATGCCCTTACAACATAGAGGAAGGGGCCTTGAGCCAAAAATGGAAGTGGCCTATCTATATAAGGTGGAATAGGAAAGGAAACAGATTCCTCCCTACCATCCTCCAGAAGGAAGGCAGAACTGCAGACACCTTGATATTAAGGCTTTTGACCTCTAGAACTGTAAGATGATAAATTTCCATTGTTTTAAGCCATTAAGTTTGTGATATTTTGTTAGTTTAGCAAGAGAAAATTAATACATATGACAATATGTATTACCCTCTTACTGAATGTTTTTTGTCTCCAATTATTTCTATTATAAATAAAGCTACAATACATTTTTCTATAGGCAGATAGTGAAAAGTTCTATATAGAAAAATAAACCAGAGAAAGGGTTAGGATGTTCAGGTCAGCAGGGATATATGCTGTGTTATGTTGGTAGATGTTTAACAACTTGCTTTCCAGGAAAAAACCCAAATCCTTATTTGTAGTATTTCCCTTGGTGTAAATACTTTCACCATGACCAATTCAAGCTATCAATGTAATGTCACTGAATACTGAGCCGGGATGATATCTCAGCCTCTGCACACTACTGGATTTGAGTATGTTTTTGTGCACATGTGTGTTTCTAGGTATACAGATGGTGCCCAGAAAATGTATACACATTTTAAGAAAGGAAAAAACTGTATTAAAATTATAATACTCAATATATACCCATAACAAAAGATAAATACAAGTCACATTTGATCTCTGCAGTTATAAGAGGTGCTCAAAGTGGTTAAAATCAGTGTAATTTTAATATAGTTTTTTCATTTCTTAAAATGTGTACACATTTTTTTTGGCATCCTCTGTTTGTGTATACATGTGTGGAGTTCCTATTTGAAAAACAATGTCTCTCATACTGCCAGAAACCTAAAGGAGTGATGGAGACACCTATACAGAAAAATGGGAAAAAAAGAAATGTACTCTTGGCAGAGGAAATAGTAAATGCAAACACATAATGGTGGACTTTCTGATGTGTTTGATAGACTTCAGGCCTATGAGAGCTATCAAGGAGAAGAATACAGCTGGAGGAGAGTGAGTTGCTGAATTGTGGGAGATAAGATCAGACAGCTCATTGTACATTCATAAGTGTGTTTGCACTTGGGGACCAGGGTAAGGCCTCATAAGTCACTGCAGGCACTTTTATTTTGAGGGAAATGCAAGGGGTTTGAGGAAAAGAGTGACATAATCAAACTTAAATCTGGCTCTTTTGTTGGGGCATAAATAGAAACAGGCTGAGACACAGTCAGGAGGGAGTTGCAATAATTCAAGTGAGAGATAAAGGTGATCAGATACTGCAAGTAGAGCTAAAAGAATTTGCCAGAAGATTGAACTGGGGTGAGAGAAAGAGGAGCTAAGGCTCATTACATGATTTGACTTGAGTAATTGGATGTATTAAATTTAAGGTGATTTTTAAAATTTCAGTCCAGTGGAGAATTGGGTATGAATATCAGATTAGGGAAGGGAATCAGCTGGAGATGTAATTTTGGATTTAAAGCCATAATACTGGATGAGATCACATAATGAAGGTAGATAAAGAAGAAATCTGAGGACTGAGTCCTGAGGTACTCTAGGATTTAGGGATAAAGGACACAAGGAGGAACCAGAAAATGAGACTGAAGGGCTATCAGGTAGAAGGAAAACAAAAAGAGAATAGCATCCAATTAAAGAAAATATTTCTTGGACGAAAGAATCATAAAACTCAAAAAATACTCCTGGTTAGTGAAATAAATTGAAACCTGAGAATTGACCATTTGTTGTAAAAGTGTTATGTTATTGATCATGTTGACCAAAACAATTTTGGTGGAGAGATAGGTACAAAAGTCTGATTGCAGTGGCTTCAAGATAGAACAGGAGGAAAGGAATTAGAGACATCAAATTTAGCCAATCCTTTCTAGCTTTTCTGTGAGAGGGCAGTAGCTGAAGATAGGATTAAGAAAGTTTTTTAAAGGCTGGAGGTAGCATGTCTGTGTACACATAGAAACAAATTAGCAAAGTAGGAAAATCAATGAAGCAAAAGAAGGAATTGCCCGAGGATGTCCTTAAGAAAGGGAGGGTACTGGGATCTAGGGCATAAATAGAATGGTTGTCTTAGGCAGATGATTCATCATGGCAGCAGGTAGAGATTGATGAGTAGATGCCATAATGGGATCATGTGGAAAGTCTTTATGGGGGTGCTTCTATTATGTTAGTGAAGCAATGTCATCCACTGAGGGTGAAGATCGGGTTGGAAATGTGGGAGGTTTGAGAAAGAGAATGGGTCAATGAAAAATCTTAGGAAATAGCAAAAGATTGCAAGCAGTACTTAGAGCCCACTTGAGTGGTCATGAATTTAAATTGAGACCAGTTGCAGGCCTGTCTGTTTTTCTTAAGCCAATACAATGCACAGATGCAAGCATAGAATGGATTGAGATTTTAGCTTAAGCAGGTTTGTGGTTCTGTCAGGTGAGCATGAGGGGAAAAAAAGAGAATGTCAGAGCTGAGGAGAAATACAAGAGAATACTAGAATTATGCATAATAGACAGCAGGAGGGAGGATAAGGAGTGAGTAGGGTTGAGGGTGTGGTAGGGACAATAAAGAGAGACGACAATGACCCCAATGGCATCTATGAATTCTTGAAATTGGGATACTGGAGGGACTTCCAAAGACTGGAGATAGGGTTGAAGAGAGAGACCATTGAATTGAGAATATGCAAGGGTGTGGTATTTGGTAATGACAAGGCTTAGTGCAGCGGTTCTCAACCTTCCTAATGCCGCGACCCCTTAATACAGTTCCTCATGTTGTGGTGACCCCTCCCAACCATAAAATTATTTTCGTTGCTACTCTATAACTGTAATTTTGCTGTTATGAATCGTAATGTAAATATCTTTTTGTTTTCCGATGGTCTTAGGCAACCCCTGTGAAAGGGTCGTTCGACCCCCAAAGGGTTTGCGACCCACAGGTTGAGAACCGCTGGCTTCCTGTACAACTGGAGGTGTAAGTGGCTCAGGGGGTGACAGATAAGATCATTGATAGAGAGGAGGTCTTAGAAATGGAAGGCCAAATAGAAGGATCATCTGTGGGGTAATTGAAATCACAATAATTATTACAGGGATACTATTGGAGGTACAATGAGAATCACAGTGCTCTCAGAGTGGTCCTCAGACTAGCAATGCCAATATGGTCTGAGTACTTGTTAGAAATGCAAATTCTCAAGTCCCATCCAGAGCTACTGAATTGGAATCCCCAGGAGTGGTGCTCCATCTGATGCACGATGAAGTGTGAAAACTACCATAGCACAGAAGTTAGAAAAGTTAATTGCTTGAAGTAGCAGAGTTTTCAACGAGGTAGTATTTAAACTACGCCTGAACTGCAAGGTTAAGTTAAAATTAAAGGGAGCAGTGTTTGTAAAGAAAGGCTAGACTCATGAAAAGACCTCAGGTAAGATCAAATGAAATTATGTAAAAATGTGAAGTGCTAGCTGTTAATATCAGAAAATCATGCCTTGCTAGGAAGGCATTCATTTCTGATATCACATCACAAACTTTTTATTTACTTTTTAGTCCATTGTTGTTGGGCTCAGTATAGAGTGACAGAGGACTTGGAACGTAAGTGTAGCTGCCTTGGCATACATTTCCCACAATTTCCCCATATCTCTATGGAACATAGGAGAAGTAATCCCACAGAGCAGGTATATCACAGAACACGATTAAAGGAGGCCTTGGCCCTTTAATGACGTAATGGGGCACCCAACGCGGGAGTTTTCTACCAATGACGGCGCCTCTGGGGGCGGAGCCTGCCCAGGGCTAACGTCACTATCAAGCGCCGGGCGCTCTCGTTTGGCGGCGGATTCAAATGTTCAGGCCAAGATCTCAGGCCTGAAGGAGCGACGGAGGGGCCGGGTTGTTTTCTTTTTCTCCGCGGACGAGAGCTTCTGTGCGGTGCAGGGAGTACCTCGGAAGCTGAGGCGGCTGGTACCTGACGGAGAGGATGGCGCTGTCGACTACAGTCTCCCAGAAGAAGCAGATAAGGCGTAAGGCTCCTCGCGGCTTTCTAAGGCGCATCTTCAAGCGACAGAAGCCTCACCTTCGTCTGGAGACAAGTGGCGACTTACTGGTGAGATTCTTCCCTTCTTGGGCTTGAAGTGGGGCCGGGCGAGGTAGGGGAAATAAAAACCTGACCACCTAGTTCTTTCAGGCCTATATTTAAGACATTTTCTGCAGTGATTCGGCATGTTTGCCGCAGCTTGGCATGTCAGTTTATAGTCCTGACGCTTAATTGCACTGGGGCCTACTGAAATGTAGATACCTGGACCGATGTTACGGGAGGCTATTAGCCACATCATCTTAACGAGAGAACTAACGTTACGTTCCTGCTAATAGCGTGTAAATATCGCTGTTTAGGAGCACAGTCTGGTACTGCGCCTCGTGTACTTTGGAAAGGTGTGAAAGACACAGTCTTTTAAAAGTAGATTTTGGAATTCACGCTGGGTCGTTTTTATTTAACTATTGTAAAAGGCGTTACTGACATACCTTTCTTAAAATATATTGTGCTATTTCCTCCATTTTAGCCTACTTGCTACGAAACCCGGATTCAGAAGTTTATTTCCAAGTAGTATGTTCTCAGCTGTGAATTTGTTTTCCCAGACAGATAGAACACCTGTTAGTTCAGTTCTCAAGCCAAACTAACACTTGTTTATCTGACTTGTAATACCTGCGGCATAACGCTTATCTAGTAAATAGCCACAACCAAACCACTTTATAGTATTTCTGTCTTGAAATAAACTCAGGGTTTTTATGTTAAATGCCTGGAACATGTATCCCACTAGCAGAATGAACGCTGTTTCCCTAGGTTTAAACCATGGGAGGCGCCTTCTCTGTTTTGTCACAAGAGCTGAGTAAAAGAGCCATTCATTACAAGTGGGCACCGAATTTCCTAATTTTCAGGATATTACAGTAAAGAATTGTGGCTAGCAGGATATATGTCTTCAGAATGCATCATTTCATCTGTTCTTGAGCTACATTGGGTTTTTTTTTCCACCTCTACTGCCTCCTCTGTTGCCTATTTGTAGGGTTTCTGTTTTTGCTAGACTACTATAGAACTGTCTTCATTTTTCCTTTATTTTGTGTCTGAGGCCAAAATAAAACTTTTTTATTTTTGACTTGGAAAAGTAGCCTTTCTAATATCTCTTGCCCTCCTTCTTTGTTTCTTTCTTAGACCTCATAAGACAATGTATACTATTTTGTACTCATACCCACGGTGATGATAAAGGTGGCACAAGTGAATTGAATTAAAGTGAAATTGATTTACAAGACATTTTTAGGTAATTTATTCTGGAGTTTTCACTGGTGCTGGGATCCTAAGTGGAGGGGAAGGATGTGTACCTGCTCAAGAATTTCTAGGAGATTACCATATAGACTGGCAGAAATTTCTCAAGTAGTCAGATTTCTTTCTCCTCAGTACCTGCCGTCCACAAAGTAAACCGTGGGCAGGTGGGCTATATTGTAGAGTGGGCCCAAGTGGTGCTGGAAAGAAGGGCAAGTGAAATTCCAAGCAGTTGCAGTGTGGTGGGGGAAGGACTTTCTGTAGGCCACCATCTATTCCTAGGCCTTACCCTTTTCTTTGGCTTTCATTAGCTCTCCTTCGATGTCTTGTATATGCTGTGCATCATCCTGAATTTTTGCTTATGGTTTTCTGCTTACCGTTGACACTTTATAACCTTACCCAGCAGGTGTCCCACATCATCCATAAACTTTTCTACAATTAAGGCAGTCTGTTTTGATCTATTTTTTCTGAACTTTGATAGCAATAAAAGTGTACATATAATTTAGCTGTTGGAATTTTGGTACTGTTTGCTAAGAGTTTCATATGCCAATGTGTCCTAGTGTGGTATGCAGCTTCTTGAGGGGAAGGAAAAATACATATCTTTTTGTGTCTCCCATTATCTTTAACACAAAACTAACCTACTTTTATGCTATCTTTTGTATATATTTCTTCTACCTGAAGATGTCCTCACTCCACTCGGCAAACTCCAGTTCTTTCAAAATCCAGTTTAAATGCTACTTCTTCATGCATCCTTCCCTAATAAAAGAAAGAATCAACCTTATCTTCCTCTATCACCTATTGTCAGACATCTGTCTTTAACTTCTTTCTTAGGCTTTCTTCTTTATAGGCTTGGTTCTCCCATTGGACTGGGAACTTTGGGACTGTTTATATTCCTCTAATGTTTAGCATAATCTTGAATGTTCTGAGTGTACAATTAATGTCAGGACCGCATGGTAACTATATGTGGATTGATTGCCATTTCTAACATTTTACTTACAATTTCCTTGTGTTATTTCATAGTTCTGTACTTTCTGTTGTTGTTTTATTTGATTGTATTGGGTCATCGGGAAAGTCATGATGTATTTTTCTGTTTTTCAATGCAAAAATGCGTCATGACTTTCCCAACGACCCAATATATCTCCAAGGCCAGTACTGTTGAGTACATCTGTTAATCTGAAAAAATTTTCAGCTTTTTTGTGGCTCAGTTAACTTTTTAGATTTATTGTTGAGGAATGCTGTGCAAATATCTGGATGTGTTATGGTTTATATAAAACTCAAGTGTTGTGACAAAGGGAGGAAGAGGTCAGGCTGGTCCAGTCTTTTGGTCAACTAAGCCTGTCAAGAAATGGACATTTCTTTGTAAATTATCTTTTGATTTACCTTTCAAACAAGCTGATTTTTTCCCCCCAGTATAACTTCTTGATGGAATGGTTTATCTTTTCAAGTTTGAATGACTAGCCAAATACCTTAAAGTTTGTTTTTGTTCTAACCATTTAAATTTAAACCTTGGTGCATTTGAGTGATACCACTCAACAGTTTTATGATGGAGGAATAGGCTGCTTAAAAAAAAAAATTCTGTAACATCAAAAAAAGTAATATTAATTGGCCTTGGTATCTATGGCTCATGTCTGTGAAGACGAAAGGACTTTCCACGTAGGTTAATAGCATGAACCAAGTCTCAAAACAGTATGGCTTATTTGAGATTGACTAAAAAATTTTTTTGCCTAATTTGGGCAGATATGGAGGGATCTTTTGTTCATGCAATCATAATTGACTACCTACTACATATTGGGTCAATGATAAAGGTCACTGGGGATACAATGTTAGGGAAGATAGTTATAGTTCTTAGTCTTATAGTAAATACATTGGGGAAGACAGGTGAGAAATTGCTGCATAATGTATGTAGTGAGTGCAGTGAAAGGAAGTTTGGAGTGCTATGAATCTACATAAACTCACATATTGGGGGGAGTTGGGCTTCTCAGAGAAGTCTACAAACTAATAGGATGATTGTAGGTGACGTTGTATTTGATTACTGAAAGAAGTTCAAAGACCTAGTATGGAACTGGAAGCTGAGAAAGGTGAGGGATGAAACGGGAAAAGCCTGGTCAGGTGGAGTTTAGTAATAAGGAATTTATCCTGGGCATCTAGGAGCTATTTATATTTAAAAGTAGAAAATATAGATTAATACAGGGAATTGTGCCATGTTATGGAATGTTTTTGCTGCAAAAGGAAATGGCATATCATTGGAAGTTTTATAAAATTGAATAATATGATATAATAATGTAAAGAATCAATGGAGTATTTTACCTCTGATTTCTTGTGAGAATTAAAGAAGAGTGCACCAAAAAAGTACCAAAAGAATGTCTCCTTCTGTAGGTTCTTTATCTTATTAAATTTAAATTACCAAACTATACTTTCCCCAAACATCACTAAAACATTCTTAAGCATTTTGAACAGTTCACTAAAGATTGCTGCATGGTATAACTAATTTCAAAACACCACATTACCTAGTTATTTAACATTTAGTCAACAGTGGGAGAAACACACAAGATAGTGAATATTAAGTATTGTGTATTAATTGTTCTAGCTGCAAAAAGCGTGTTCTAGTAGGTAAATGACCAAATAAATTGTATGTTAAAGATACTATCTAACTGGACCTAAATTGGTAATGCCGTCAGGCACATGGCAGTAGCAAAGGATGGGGAAGATGTTACCAATAATTTAAATAAAAGAGCACTAGCTGTGATCCTTGGAGAGAATTGAGATAGAACTACAGCTCACGGCATTCGCTCTTGCTTGGATTTTGTATTTTAGTTTAACTGTTTTCAAGGTTTGTATGCATAGATTGATTAGCACTTTGGTTTGGATAGTGAATTTTGAGTAAAATATTAGCAAAGTGTTATTTTGCATATTCAGATAATGAAGTTAAATAATGTATATATATATATATGTTTTGCTTATATGTACATATATATGTAGAGCTTGTTTCTTTAAGAATATGCGAGAAACTGGCAACCATAGTTGACTTGGGGATGATGTGAGAGACTTATTTTTGACTGTCTACCCTTTTGTATACTCTTTTGCTTTATATTTTATTTTGAAATAATTATAGATTCGCAAGAAGTGGCAAAAGTAGTAGAGAATACTCATGTACCTTTACTCAGCTTTCCACAGTGCTAACAACTTACATAACTATAGTCCTTTGTGGACTTGAATTTTGTATTGTTATATTATCTATTTTAAATAACTTCTTAAAAGGTGCCTTAAAGATTAATGGTAGATATGATTATTTTGATATTATTAGATGACAAGTAATGACCTTTGTACATTCATTTTTCAGTTCAGTAAATTTTTAGAATTTCAATTATTAACATGTTTTTAAGTAGATATTTCAAATAGCTGGTTAAAAAACCTTTAGACCTTGGATTGTAGAATGAGAGATGATTAGCCTTAAATATAGTTGTTGATATGTTTTGATTTTAAATTTTTGGGACATTTTAAAATACATTATAAATTTAAACTTATTTGGAATCAGAAGCACAAATATTTGTTACTTAAAAGAGTCTTACATAAGTTTTAATCTAATGATGCTTCACAATAATGTTATTGCCTATAGCCTTTGCTTAGCCTTCCATTGCATAGCCTTGTTTCATGTAATATAATAACTGAGTCTCCTTTGTGTGGAATCTAAGATGGACCTATATTAAACAGAATCCTGTGTTACTTTAGATAAAAGTTAATTGAGTTAATCACAGTACTAAAGAGTACAACATTAAATTTTGGGCTCTTTTATTTTTAAAATTCATTATTTCAAAGCAATGTTTGAGTTTTAAATTCCTTTAAATTTTCTCTTTAAGGTGCACCTGAACTGTTTACTGTTTGTTCATCGATTAGCGGAAGAGTCCAGGACAAATGCCTGTGAGAATAAGTGTGGAGTCATTAAAAATGAGCATGTACTGGCTGCAGCAAAGGTAAAGTCTGAATTTCTTTTCTTGAGCAAGAGTTAACTTACAAAATACCACCTGATTCATCACCTCTGCCTGATTAAATTCCTTATTTAGCTTTGTTGACTCAGTTGACACTTAGCTTTTCACGTTAATGGATTTTAATTATGGAGTTTGGTTTTCTTTTATGTATATTCTTGATTTCTGATAGATTCATGGCCACTGCTTTATCATATTTATGGGAAAATGAATGTTTGACTGTAATCGGTATGATTTGTAATCTGTAGGCTATATATACTATTTAAGAAGGCTTATCACCTTGAAATTTATCAAAACTACCTTCTTAATCATTTTAGTTTCCTAATTACCTCAGTATTTGTTTTTCTAACTTTGCTTTGAGATCTGCATGACTTATGAACCAAATGTTATAAAAGCAAAGAAGATTGGTTCTTTTTGGTATTTTTATATAATGTAAGATTATGGTTCCTAGGGCAGATTTTTTTCCAAATATGTTCCTGAGATCATCATTTCCACTTAATGGTAACAGATGCCTCACCACAAAAAGCTTCTGGGGTCAAGATAAATTTAGATGATCTAACATATTTCACCTCCTTAAAGAGTCACAATGTTGTTATTAATATGTATGTGGAGCTTCTTTCTATAAGAATATGCAAGAAATTTGCAGCCATGGTTGACTGGGGGATGATGTGGGACAAACATTTTTGACAGTCTACGTCTTTGTATACTTTTCAAAATATTTTTCTTATTTTGAAATATAGACTCATAGAAGGTGCATAAATAGTATAGAGAGTTCCCATGTACCTTTTTGTCCAGTTTTCCACAATGCTCACATCTTTATATAACTATATTTATGTAAAGTTATATAATAAAAGCTTATGAGAAATATAACAGTAAGAAAGTTGTTGGACACTGTTTAACTTAGTATTTTGTAAATGTGAGTACAAAATATACTCAGCATTTTGTAAATTCATTTGCATGCGTAGTAGTTTCTTTTGGAGTACCCATACTTACACCTTAGAACAGAGAAGTGCTAACCTCGGGGATAGACCTGTTTGGTGGCCTCTGTAGAAGCCTAGAAATGTGTATGCCCTGGCCTTTGTTTTTTTTTTTTTTCTTTAAATTCTCCTACAATTATACACATACCAACAAGTTTCTAGACTACTAAAGTCAGGTATTTTTCTGCAGGTAAAGCAAGGTTTAAGAGCTTCAATAGTGTATTGTGTATTTTAAATTTAGGGTTTGTTTGTTTTTATTAATAAACTATAGGTATACTTACCTAAAAGTAGGTAAGTTCTTTAAAAATTTTTTTGATATATTTTGTTCTCATGCTCCATGTATTTTATGACTAAAGATCTCATTTTATTTATTTCTCTCATGGGCCGTATGTTTTGAAAATTGTCTACCTAACAAGCTTTTCAACATAAAATGACTAGTCTTGGTCTCTAAATTGACATAATTCCAGATCAAATATAATAAACTTGGTGTTGCAATGGATTTGTATTGCTTTATAGTTGTTAAATGCCTGATTTATAATAGGATTTTCGAGTTTTGGAACATTCTTTAACAGGATTACTAAATTGTCTATGAACCTCAAGTTAGGAACCATTAATCTGAATACTTTTGGCTTATAATTGAAGAAATTAATATCTAGAAGTGACTATAAAAACAGATTTTGAGAACCTAGGAATGTTTCATGTTCTTTGAGAGAAGTAAATGTTAAGACCATTTATAAGGGAAAGGATTCCCTAATCACCTAGTATATTGGTTTTATAAAATCAGTCTTGCATATTATACACATAGGACTATTTAGCTTTTTGTTGAGGAATTATGTTTTATTTGCCATAAGTATAATATGAATCTTCATTTCCCCTCCCCCCCCCCACAGGTAATTCTAAAGAAGAGCAGAGGTTAGAAGTCAAAGAACACATTTTTGAAAATTCTATGATGTATTATTAAAGAGCTTAGGAAAGCTCTTTTTACATATCAGTTAATAGTGTATATTATTAAAATATTGGCTGTTTGAGGGGTGTGTGCATTTGTATATTTTTTTACTGGTATTGAAATATCTCAAGAATGGTAAATATCTCAGAACTATATAACTTTTTTTGAGGAATTATGTGTCATTCATTTTAAGTGGTCTCTAGTTCATTTTACTTCCATTTTGTTGGTATTGCAAATATTTTACATATCAAAAATGAAATCTTTATGAAATAGCTTGAAGAGATGAATTTCTTGGAATTAAGCTTATAAGTATTTGCATTTAGACACAATTATGGAATCAATTTAATCCCTGAAAAAAGACAACATGCAGTCAAATCTAGGTACATTTTAAATAATAATTTTAACTCTTTAATGCCTTTGCATAAGTAGTGGAGTCTATTTTTACATTATACCAATAGGATAGTGATATTATTTATCAACTGTAAAAATCAGCAAGTGTTTTTCAAAACCTATTTCCCTCCCCAATCCAAAAAATTTGCAGGGCAAATTGATTTATTTTCTTAAAGTAACACAGATTTACTAGAAGGGTGTTTTTTGCCCCCTAAGGAATATTTTAGAAGTCTATTGTATATTATTCAATAGTTGTTACTTTGAATTTTTTATTTTGAAATAATTATAGATTGCAACACAAAGTTGCTAAGACAGTACAGAGAGGGCCCTGTGTATTGTACATTTAGTTTGCCCCCAATGGTTACATCTTAAATAATTATATCAGAACCAGGAATTTGACATGAGTACAATATATGTGTAATTCTGGACCATTTTATCACGTGTATAGATTTGTGTAACCACCACTGCAATCAAGATACAGAAGTATGTCAAGAAAACAGCCAAACGATTTTTCAGAGTGGCTATATCATTTTATATTTTCATCAACATTTTATGAAAGATCTTTCTTTACATTCTGATGAATACTTGGTATTGTTATTTTTTTATTTTAGCTGTTATTAGGTGTCTCCTCAAAGTTTATAATTTGCATTTTTCTAATGGCTAATGATGTACATATTTTCATATGTTTATATGTCATCCATTTTTTCTCTTCAGTAAAATGTTTCTTCATTTCTTTTGTGCATTTTCTATTCCGATTTTTTTTTCCTAACGTTGAATTTTCAGAGTTCTTTATTCTAGGTGTGGGTCCTTTGTCAGATAATATGATTTATAAATATTTATTCTGTAGTTTCTCTCTTAACCAGGTCTTTTGAAGATCAACAGTTTTAATATTGATGAAGTATAATTTGTTGGATTTTTTTTTTTTCATGCATTGGTCTTATGTTTAAGAACTCTTCACCAAGCCCTAGATCCTGAAATTTTTTTCCTATATTCTTTTTTGCAAGTTTTATAATTTGTTTTACATTTAAATCTCTGACCTATTTTGAGTTAATTTTTGTGTAAGATATGAGGTTTAGATCAAGATTCTTTTTTTTTTTTTTTTGTCTGTGGATATCTAGTTGTGTCAGCACCATTTTTTGAGCAGACGACCTTTCCTTCGTTGAACTTCTTCTGCACTTTTGTCATAAATTCGTTGGTCATATTTGTATGGAGTATTCCTGGGTTATGTATTCTATTGGTTTGTTTCAGCCCCTTCACCAATAACACATTGTCTTTATTAATTCCAAGCCATCCAGAAATAGAAGCTAGTAAGTTTAATTCAGCATGAAACTAATATGTAGGAAGGTACTTCTAATAAAATTCATGTGAAAAAGGCTAATTTTCACACTGATTTATGTTAAATTATTTACTTCAAAATTGCTATAAGGCAATATTTTCATGAATAAGACAGTGTTCCAAGAAAATGCAAATAATTACTATTTAGAAATTATACCTACTAGAGATTTTAAAAGATCTAATCATGATCTTGTTAATTGTCCTAAGCAAAAAATGGGCAAAATCATTGGTTTTGTTTTTGAAATAGTTTTAAGTCTTTCTAGAGTTGGAGTTGTTTTATACAAACTCTAAGTTGTTTTCTGCCTTTTAAATGTATCGACTCTAAAGTGTTCACTGATCAGAAACTTCTGTGTCTAAATAAAAGTTCAAGCTGTCCACTATATCCTGTGTTAAGGCTACGCCCTCAATGCTAGGGATTCATAGCTAATGTGCGCCACAGCAAAGTGAGGTAGAGTCACACTTTGTGTTCTTCGGGACAAAAAGTCGTACTCAGTAACCTCAAGAAGTAACTTGTTTCATTATGCTATATCTTGTTCTTGTATTTTACTCATTTATAGTTTGTCCACTAAATAATACTACAAAGGCAGACGTTTTTCTTTATTAATGGAGGTATGATTTTTTAAAAGGCTAGATTATCAGGTACATGATACATTCTTTGAGCAATTATCTGTCTTGTGATAGGTCTTGTGCTGTGTTAAATTATACTTTAGCTGATATTTAAAATTTTTTATTTTACATTATTTTTTATTTATTTATTTATTTTTTGCTAAGTAGAGTATAAGCAGTATAAGCTACTCTAGGGCAAGAGCTTCTAATTCTTGAATTCCTCAAAGCCATATATGGATTTTTATTTAATTTCCAAAACAAGGAGTAGATTTTCAACTATCAGGGCTTGATGAAGATACAGCTTCAATTCTCCCAGTTACACATGGCCATAGTAATGCACCTTCATGTGCATCATGGCCTTACTGAATTCCGAGGATGATAATCCAATGGAAAGAACATTTTGCATGTTTTAAGAAATCTGGATGACTGTCTCGATTCTGTCACTAGCTACATGTAAGCAAAGTAGTTTCAGTTTCTCCCTCTCAAAATTAAGAATTTGAAGGCATTAGTTTCTAACATTCCTACTAACTCTTCAAAAATAAAGACACTGGTTTCTGAGAAAGCTAACATGGAGAATATTCCACTATTTGGATATATCAGAGGCCTAACCCATATTATCTTTTGAGTCCTTGAACCACCTGTGATTATAACACTTCTGAGCTCCCTAATATCTTTAGTTTGTCTAAGACCCCCAAAAGAGAAGCTTTTTTACTGATAACTTTTCTTAAGTCTGTTGCATTTTTTCCTATGTTCTTTCTTCTAATTTTTCCCCTATGATTTTCTTTAGAAATTGTACTGAAAACAAGCTTTTCAGAGTTAAGCTTCTTATTAGAATCACTTTTCTTGGTTTATCTAAAGCTACATATAATGAGAGGAAAACTTGGAAGATACTGTTTCAAAGGTGTGTCTTGGTGAAGTTGGAGCAGTTTTGGCTTGTTTACTAAATTTTATTTTTTAAACATTTCTAGTCAACATAGAAATATATTTTAAAAGCAAAGTGGTCTATGTCTGTTAGGTCTTGAGGATTTTTTGTGGCCTCATAGCCACGAAGATCACTCTGTTTAGTGAATAACACCATTGCCTAGAGACAGTATACTGCCACATGGAGGGTATTTGGGATTTGTACAATGAGTGGATAACAAGTAGACCAGCTGGAGAAAAGTGTCTGTGTTAGCTTGGAGGGTTTTCATCAGTTGGCCATCTATAATGGGCTGGGAGAGCCAGACACCATAATCTGGCGGCCCAGGTACTATAATTGACCTACAGAGAAGTTTTGTTTGACCCTCATAGCTTTTTAAAAAATTGAATTAGTTGATTACATTTTAAAATTAAATTTTACATACAAATTTAATTTTAGGTTTCCTTTGAAAATTGGACATCTGTTGAACATGTAATGTTGACATATTGTCAGTAATACATCTACAACGTTGGACCTAAATATAGCATTCCCTTCAGATGAAGATATTCTTTGTTTCACTTTGGTTAGTCATGCCTGCTTTACTTATTTATGTACTGCTGTACCTCTGTAGGTGTTTGAGTCCACATCCATTTGAAAACTTAAAAATCGTCGTTTCTCTTGACATAACTAGCCAATTGTAGTGGTATGCCCTAGCATGACAGGTATGTTCTCTTAGTGTGGTATTTACTAAAATTTTCTCAAGTTCCTGGTAGCAATTAGCCTGTACCATTGTTCTAAGCTTGTGTCCAAGCTGTTGCTTGCATGAGTATAAGCCCACTAGCAGCAGTCCTTAAAAAAATCTTGTCTTGGATAGTGGTGTAGGGTAAAGTGTTTGAACTCATCCAAGCACATCTCCCATCAACCTCATCTCTCCCATCCAAAAGGGACTCAAATTTCTTAAGATTCCCTGTATTTATGCAAATTAGACTAAAATTCATGTCCAATTTGCAACTTCCCAAGGAATTTTCTTAGATTTCCTGAATATGTTGCACAAATAACAGCGCTATATGGGATTTGCTTCTCTATATGTTCTCCAAAAGAGACCTTCTCCAACTATATACTTCTTAGTAATGTCTCTCTGCTTTATAATGCTGTACCAGGAACCATAAAAATTCATAGTTATTTGTTTTGTACTCAGTCCATTTTATTCCTGACTCGAAGATTTTGACAGGCATGGTGAAAATGCCCTCTAGACTTAGTTCTAGGGTGCCTCTTAGAGGCATATGGTACTAAACCTAGAATTCTGGATGTAACCCTGCAAAATTTACTATTTTACCTGCATCATTTGGGCACTCAATTATATATTTGTTGAATCGATGAGTAATGGAAGCTACTTAAACCTGACCTCTTTCCACCTACTCTGCCTACAAAGGAATAGAAACCTGTCTTCAAAAGTTTTGAAGAATAATGCAGATGGTGTAACTAGGCTTTCTTAAAGGCAGAGGGTTTTCTCTACTATTTTACCCAGAAAGTTTCTAAAATTTTTCTTCAGATAAATTTCCTTTACCCTATTTATGAAATCTGCTAAAATGTCTGCTGCTTTCACTCTCTCCAGGGTAGTGCTGTCACCATCCTCCCCTCTGTTTAGTAGCTCTTCCTCTGTCTCCCCTGCACGGACTCCCAGGCATCCCAATCCTCATGAACATGACCTTCCGTGTCTGGTGCTGCCCCCACCCCTATCTATTCTAAATGTAGTAACTTTCCTAGCAAGCGTTGCTTTTCGCACGAGAATTAGCTATCTTGTGAATGGGTAAATGAAATTGTCTATTACATGTAAAAGAAAACTTAAAGGAAATTCACTGTGTTTCTTATTTTGTTCCCTCCAAATCTCTTTTCACTCACCCAACCAGGGTTGAGAGGCATGAAGGAGGGGAATTATTAAATAGTGTGGGATATAA